TAATCAATGTAATGAAACAAGCTATATGAATGGTTGAATGTGAAGCTGATGATGTGCCCTGTAAACTTTCACTCAATCCAAAATAAAAACATTAAAAAAAAAAATAATAAAATAAAGAATGGTTTGGGCAAATCTCTGACCTACTCTGACTTCACAAGTGTGAAGGAGAATCAAACTCATTAGCCCAAAGCCAATTCCTATGTGGCAGGGGTCAGACATGGCTCCAACCTTCTTATCAATTCTAACACTAGCCAGCCCTCTCACAATGCTATTACTTTCAGCTGGGTTTGATAATGCATCAGTGGTCCCAAAGAAGTCACAGAGCATATTCATGATTGTGGGCTTTATTAGGGACGTTAACAGGTTACAATTCATAAATGATTGAGACACAGTTCTTTGGTCAGGACAGCTTCTTCCCAGTCATGCCCACAGGTGGGCATCTTTCTGGTCCGTGGCCTCTCAGCCACACAGTCCCTTGGCTTCTGTCCTGCTCAGACAAGGTCACAAAGCTCTTTTAAGGCTGTTGATAACTGTCCACAGGGCACCCTTACTCTGATACAAAACTCAGCCCAATGGTGCTCAGCTCTAGCTCCTTGAGTCCGCAAACCAAGCTACCCAAATTAAATGCCAGGACACACCCCACTCCACAAAAAATCCTCCAGCCCAAAGATACTCAGCTTTACTGAGTGTCATGTGCTCTTGGTTATGATGCTGCTGTTCCTCTCCTACTCCTTCTCTGGTGACACAGATTTCTGCCCCTGAATTGAGGCGGGTCAATGTGCAGAGCTCTTCGGGTCCAAAGGATATGCTCCACTCTTGGCTCTTCTTGCTCAACTGTAGTGAATTTCCCCTTTCTTTCTTATGAGTTGGCTCAGTTAAAACTCAGTAGGATGGCCAAACTGATCAATCCCCATGTTAGAGCTCCAAAATTTTCAATTATAATCAGGCTTGTTAACAATCACTCACAACGGAATCATATCCTGTCAATATCTTCTCCACCTTATCATACATCTGAAAAAAGTTGTTTAGTGGACATGACTTTTTTTTTTTTTTAAACAAAGTAAAGGGTCCTGGTGTGGCATTGTAGGATAAACACTGGACTGCTAACAGCAGGGGCAACACCTGCCAGCTGTTCCTTAAAACCCTATCCAGGGCCCATTGTGTGTCAGAACCCACTCTATGGCACTTAACAATAAACAACAACATCAGGGCTAGAAAAGTCACACCCAGCAACTCAATTTACTGCAACTACCAACCTAAAAATTAAATTAAAACTCTGGGTCTTTTCTACATTAAATTGTTCTTCTATAATTAGTGTTTAAGATAAAAGTCATCTATCAACTTTAATCAAAAAATTATATTTTCTTTTTATCCTACATGAGTGAGTGTCCTTATCAAGTAAGAAGAGCATGTGCGGAATGTGGGACCGTATCCAGAGAAGCAGTAACACGAGAGATGGAGACAGAGATGAAGGCATGGAGAAATAGAGCAGCTGAGGACTCTAGACTCATGGAAAGAGAAAGGATGTATGCTGGAGGCCAGGCGCTTGTGGCCAGGAGGCAGGCTGGTGGAATGTGTCCTTTGGTTGTTTAAATGATTATATATTCCTGAGGGGTTTTGTGTACACCTGCCGCCTCCCGCCCCCCCCAAAAACCCCAGAGGGAATAGAAGCAAATAATGTTGAATGATGATGCACAGAGGAGATTGTAATAATTGCAATGAAACAATGAATATAAAACTGATGTTCCCCCTTGTAAACTATCACTCAATTCACAATAAAAAAAAAAAAAAAAAAGAGTGGGTGTCCTTTCTGAGTATGAAAGGACCGCTACAGATAAAGAATGTCAACCACGAAGACATTATTTTCCAAAGTGAGTTAATATTTTATTTTGAAAGGTGAGTTTTAAACTTAGAAAATTTCTTCAAATTAGAATATATGTATATATAACTAAAAAACAAAAAGTGTCCCCTGTGTATTTAACCACCTCCTGCCCTCACCCGTGCCTAGTCTTGTCTCTATTCTACCACCTGCTGACCAGTGTCTCTTTTCCACTCAGGTCAAAGCTATGGGAATGTAGTCACTGAAGGCAAAGTCCCAGGTGATGGACAAGGGAGCACTCATTCTTTCCACTGAACTCTATAATCTTTTCTTTAATGAAATTCCATCTCAGCAGTTCTAGGATTATCAAGCATCCCCAAACATCTATTAAGACAGCAAGGCGAAGGTGCCAAGCTTCATCTCTGGAGATGTGCGAATGCAGAAACGGCAGGCAAAGTTCTGGCACCATGGGTAAAGAAAAGTGCACGAGTTCCTATAGGGGGGCGGTGGTAGATTTAAGACTGGCGGCGGGAGTCTGCGGGGAGGAGTCGTGGCGCAGCTGAGGGTCCATCGTCGTGCCCAGAAAGGCCGGGCTGTTTCTCAGAGCTAAGGCAAACGGCTCCCATGAGGCGGAGCAGGAACAGTGAGAAAGTCGGAATACAGGAGAGCGAAGGAACTTCGTTGACGGCATCCTTCCCTCTGCTGTGGCCCGGACCCTGGACGTCTTTGACTCCCACTGATGTCTGCAGCGATGATTGGCCAAGCTTGCGCTCTGATGCTTGCGCTCATGCTCCTCACCCCAGGGACAGGTCTGCTAGGTAGGGGACTGGCGAGAGGGGCTCCGGAATACCGCGAGGAGCACGGGGGTGGGGGTGGGGGTGGGGGTGGGGGAAGGGAGGTGACTTTGGATGACACGCAGAGTGTCCCTGCGCATCTCGATGGCTGCATCTGATGTTTGGTGCTGACCGATAACCGCATTGAACTCTTCAGTTTCCCTTTGTGGCTAAACAGTCGCTGCTCCTTTCCTCCTGTCTAAACCAACGTCTAGGTCCAGTTTTGTTGTGGAGATGGTATGTTTTACCTTTAATTTTCCTGTGAGAAACTCCTGCTTGATCTCTCAGAGATCCTACCGGCAAAATTTGAATATTCAGAAAGAAATTCAGTTCCAAACTGCACTATTTCTATCCTTTGCCCTGTGTTGTTACTGTTGAGTGCTGTGAAGTCAGTTCTACCCTGTATCTGAGGAGTACCTGGTGCGTTTGAACTGCCAACCTTGCAGTTCAAACCGACCTTGCAGTGTAGCGTATTATCCTGCAGCACCACGCTCTCCCCTGTAGAAATTACTAATTGGGAAACATTTTACCTCTACAAAATCAGGCAAGTTAATTTTGCATATGAGCTTTTAGTGTATCTATTAAAATCAATTTGTTGTTGTTTTTATGTGCCGTGAAGTCAGTTCCGACTCATAGCGACCCTGTACAGTGTTTCCGAGGCTGTAAATCTTTACGGGAGCAGAACGCCTCATCTTTCTCCCTCGGTAATTTCGAACTGCTGACTGTGAGGTTAGCAGCCCGATTCGTAACCACTACGTTAGCTACTGTGAAAAAAAAAAAATCTCTGTTGCATAAACAGCGCACTTTCAACTGCTTTAATCCCTAACAAAGAAAACATAGCTTAAAATACAGGGGAGTTAAAAAAAAAAAAAGTAAAGCAAAGCAATTTATTAGCGCGCTCTACTTTGTACTTGGCGGTTCAAGCTCACCAGCTGCTCCTTGGAAACCCTATGCAGGGTCGCTATGGGTTGGAACCGACTCGATGGCACATAACAACAACAAACAGTCATAAATGTTGCACATGTTTTTTCCAAGATGCACAAGGTTGTGCATAGGACGTGAAACTTGGAAGATAAGAACAAGTCACCTTTCATTTAACATTCCTTTTCTCATACAAGGTTGTCGTTGTTAACCGCAAACCTTGAGGTTCAAACTGACTTTGCAGTCCAGCACATTAACCCACAGCGCCACACCAGGACTGCTTAGGATATATGTTTGTCCTTTTATCATTTTGTTGACATTATTTTGTTTTATAAAAGTAAGTTTGCTTTCTAAAAAGGAGAAGCCAGCATCCACTGACCTAAAATTTGCTAGCTATTAAAATCCAATTTATCAGGTCATATCCTGAAACAGTGCACCTTAACATAGTATCATTGATCCCTGTGTTCTTTGTTTTGCTTACAGATTTAACAGGGCTTCATGAATTTAAAAATGCATGTATATATGGAATGTGCATTTATTATTGTTAGACAAAACATTTCCAATTAAAAAGACTAGGTCTGGCCAGTGTTTCCTTAAGATAGGACCACTATGTTTTTGAACTGCAAGGGTGGCGGTTCAAGCTCACCAGCTGCTCCTCGGAAACTCTATACAGGTCCCTGTGGGTCGGAACCGACTTGACGACACTTCACAACAACAAACAACAAGAACATCTTTAACTTAACAAGAGGTTTTCAAGGTTCATTCATGTTGCTGCATGAGAGTTCCCATTTATCCTGTCTCACTATAACTGTTTCTCTGATTATTGTCTTCTATTCCTGTGGTTTAGTTAAAATATTGGCACACTATTATTAACTAAAGTGCATAGTGTGTATTAGGGTTCACAATTGGTGTTCACATTCCCACAGAGCTTGAGGTCATGTGTCTACCACTATACTTTCATACAGACTATTTCACTAATCTTTTCACTATCTTTATATATTTTTTAAAAAATGTATTAATCCTCAAATCTTTTTCTACCTTCTATAGTTTTGCCTTTTCCAAAACATTTAATTGGAATCATACAATATGTAGCTTTTCCACACTGGCAATTTTCATTTAATAATATGCTATTAGGACTCTTCAGTGTCTTTTCATGGCTTGATTGCTCATTTCTTTTTTTTTTTTTTTTTTAGTCACTGAATAATAATCAATTGTCTGTGTGAACCACAGTTTGTATATCAATTCACTGATTGAAGACATAGTTACTTCCAGTGTTTGACAATTAAGAATAATGCTCTATGTGTACATATATTTTCATCTCATTGGGATAAATTCCTAGGAATCTAATTGCTGTCTCTTTTGGCAAGTGTACTATGGTAAACCTACATTTAACTATGTTAGAAATTGCCAGACTGTCTTTCAAAGTAGCTACACCACTTTGAATTCCCACCAGCAATGGATGTCAGTTCTTTTTGCTTCACATCCTCACCAGTATTTGATCAGTGTTTTGGAGTCTAGTCATTGTACTAAGATGTGTAATGATACCTCATTATTATTTTGATTTGTAATTTCTTAATGGCGTATGGAGTCCCTGACTAGTGCAAACAGTTAATGAGCTCAGTTATTAATCAAGTCCACCCAGAGATGTCTCAAAAGAAAAGCCTGGTGATTTGCTTCTAAAGAAGTGCTGGTAGTGGTGGTGGTTATGGGCCATGTAGTCAGTTCTGACTCATAGCTGTAAAGGGTTTCCAAGGCTGTAAATCTTAATGGGAGCAGAAAGCTTCATTTTTCTTCTGTAGAGAAGAGCTTGTAGATTTGAAATGTTGGCCTTTCGGTTAACAGCCCAACTCATAACCCACTAAACTACCAGAGCTCTTTAAAAACTAGCCATTTAAAACTGTGTGGAATACAATTCTACTCTGAGGTTGCCAGGAGTCAGAGTCAACTTGAAATATGTTTTCCTTTGCATTGGTGAATCTATAATAGCATTCTCACCTTTCATGTGGGAGGTTTGGAATCCTTGTGTAGTACTGTAGGATAAGCACTGGACTAACTGCTCGAAAGGCAGTTTAAATCCACCAGCTGCTCCTTGAAGACCCTACACAGGGTCACCATGAGTCAGCACTGACTTGACGGCACTTCACAACAAATACGTGGTCGATTTGGCTTTGGTTCCCAACCAATGCACCTGAAGTGCAGCCACCACCTGTTTGTCAGTGGAAGCTTGTTGTTGTGTAGTGCCGTCAAGTTGGGTACAACCCATAGCAACCCTGTATAGGGTTTCTTAGGAGTTACTGGTGAGCTTGAACCCCTGACCTTGCAGTTCAAACCAACTTTGCAGTCCAGCGCATTAACCCACCACGCCACACCAGGACTCCAGTGGAAGCTTGATGTTGTTGTTTTTAAGTGCTGTCGAGTCGATTCTGACCCATAGCGACCCTGTATACAGTTACCAACGAGCAGCTGGTGAGCTTGAACCACCAACCTTGCAGTTCAAATGACTTTGCAGTCTAACGCATTAATCAACAGAACCACAGTGGAAGCTTTGTTGTTGTTGTTAGGTGCCATCGAGTTGGTACTGACTCATAGCGACCTTATGCACAGCAGAACAAAACACTGCCTGATCCTGGGCCAACCTCACTACGGTTGCCATGCTTGAGTCCATCGATGCTGCCACTTGGCCAATCCATCTCATTGGGGGTCTTCCTCTTTTTCCCTGACTTTACCAAACATGATATCCTTCTCCAGCGACTGGTCCCTCCTGACAATATGTCTAAAGTATAAGAGAAGAAGTTTGGCCATCTTGGCTTCCAAGGAGCACTCTGGCTGCACTTCTTCCAAAACAAATCTATTGGTTCTTTTGGTGGCCCATGGCACTTTCAATATTCTCCTCCAACACCATAACTCAAAAGCGTCAATTCTTCTATGGTCTTCCTTATTCACTGTCCAGCTTTCACATGCATATGAGGTTATTGAAAATACCATGGCTTGGGTCAGGTGCACCTTAGTCTTCAAGCTGACATCTTTGCTCTTCAACACTTTAAAAAGGTCTTGTGCAGCAGATTTGCCTAATGCAATACATTGTTTGATTTCTTGACTGCTACTTCCATGAGTGTTGATAGTTGATCCAAGAAGAATGAAGTCCTTGACAACGTCAACCTTTTATCCATTGGTAAGTGAAAGCTTGTTGTTGTTGTTATGTGCCGTGGAGTTGGATCTGACTCATAGTGACCCTGTACAGGGTTTCCAAGGCTGTAAATCTTGACAGGAAGCAGAAAGCCTCATCTTTCTCCCACGGAACAGCTGGTAGTTTCGAACTGCTGACCTTAAGGTTCGCAGCCTGATTCTTAACCACTACACTACCAGAGTTCCTTAAACTTAGGTGTTGCTAAATAGGTTTCAGTGGAATTTCCTGACTAAAACAGACTAAGAAGAAAGGTGTATGATTTACTTCTGGAAATCAGCCAGTGAAAACCTTATAGGTCACAATGATCTGATCTGCAACCAATCCTGGGGATGCTACAGGACTGGGCTGTGTTTGGTTTTGTTGTATATGGGGTTGCCATGAGTTCAGGAGTCTCCACAGAGCTAATAACAACGAAATCAAGAATAATTAGAGTGCTCTTGAGTGTCATGAAGTAATGACAATAAAGTTCTTGAAGCTTATATATCTCAGCAGTACATGGGTGTGTTTCTGGAAAGTGCAAGCTGTCACGGTTGACTTACTAAGAGGCCCTAACATTTCAGATGATCTTTATGTTCAGTTGTGTGTTTATTTGTCATAATTTTGTTTGGGGCATTCAATTTTAAATGATACCTGGAATATGTTGACGTGATAACACATATGGAAAGATACCTATTTTCTATCCTAGCTCGAGAGTGTTCTCCTGGGGGACACCAAATTCTCCAGAGTCCTTATAGAAGCATCCATTTTGATGCAATGCACCTCCAGCAGTCAGCTGCTCAAAAGCTGATATGTGACCATTCCCTCTCCCCTGGATGGTATCGTTTTCTCATCTTTGACAAACCTGCGGAGATGCCAACCAAATGTGTTGAGGTATTTCAACTCACTAAAAACCTCATGAGTTATTTAAGTATATTTAAAATATTAGATTGAATATTATTCAATCCATTTGTTTTCATAACAAGCTATTATTTTAATTTTGTACAGACCAAGTTAAAGAGTTACCATTTTCCCATTGTAACACTAATAGTTAACATTGTATATACCATGTAGGCCACCAAGTCTTTTTAGACAGAGAATCTTATATAATTTTCACAACACTCTGTAAAAGGGCTTTCATTATTCTTTTCACCTCATAATCCACCAGTAGTTCCTTGTGAGAAAGATGAGGTTTTCTGATCCTGTAAAGATTTACAGCCTTGGAAACCCCACACAGGGTCACTATGAGTTGGCACAGAGAAACAACAACATACTTCTAGAAATATATAATCTTAGAGGTCATTGCTCTAGGGTCACTGATGAAGGAGGTAAGTCTTGAACACAAGACAGTTGTTCTTCAGAGTTCATGTGATTAACCACAAGTAATCTGCAAACAGTGGTGGTGGTGGTTTATGTGCCGTGGACTCGGTTCTGACTCATATAACCCTGTACAGGGTTTCCAAAGCTGTAAATCTTTACGGAGCAGAAAGCCTCATCTTTCTCCTGAGGAACACCTGGCAAATTTGAACTGCTGACCTTAAGGTTCATAACCTGATTCATAACCACTACACTACCCGAGCGTAGCAAGCAGTAAGCTATCTATCATATAAGTGTTCCAGTTCTATTGGCTATTTATTGCCTGACAATGTTTTTATAAACTGTGGCCTCTGATGACTTGAAATCTAGGGACCAGCACCTCTTATTTCAAGACTAAAGAATCAGCCTGGCAGTGAAATCACAGTAGTTCCTGGTCCCCCATCTAAAGGCGATGAACCTAAAGCAAATTCAGTTCTCACCCCAAAGAAGTTTCCCCATCACACCTACACTGTGTGTACCCAAAACACCCAGTATACCTTGCTTGTCTTTAAAAGTTTGTGAACACAGCATGAGGCTTTCAAAAACATATAATGTTTAATTTTGCAAGTATGGCTCACAAAATAAAATCACACAGGATGTATATATCGGCCTTTTATTTTTACACTGAGCTCACTCTTGTTGTTGTTGTGAAGTGCCATCGAGTCGGTTCCGACCCATAGTGACCCTATATAGGGTTTCAGAGGAGCAGCTAGTGAGCTTGAACTGCCGACCTTGCAGTTCAAATGGCTTTGCAGTCTGGTGCATTAACCCATAGCACCACACCAGGACTCTGAGCTCACTCTTAGCTACTACATATTCTGATTCCCATCTTAGCAGATTCATGTGCAGCTGAACTAACCAACTGCCTTCCGCCACTCAGAGCCTTGACTAACACATTTTCTTTTAACATGCCTCAAAGGTCATACAGTATTAAGTGCTTCAGTTTTCCCACCCAAAGCTTCTTATTTATTCTAATTTAATTTTTTATTTAATTGTATCTCCCATTTAGAAATGATTTGATAATTGGCTTTCAAGTGAAGCTTAAAATTGATTATTTTTTTTCCAGAAATACAATCAATTTCTCCACTGACAGATTTTAAATTACCTCTCCCCTGGTTGTGCTGTGGGTTAGGCTTTGGTCTGCTAACTGAAAGGTCAGCAGTTTAAATCCACCAACTGCTGCCCTACAGGAGAAAGACGAGGCTGTTTGTTCCCGTAAGGATATAATAGCCTCAGAAACCCTAGGTAGGGTTACTAACAGTTGGAATCGACTTGATGGCAGTGGATTGGGTTTGGTGGATTCCTTCTCTTTTGCTTTATTATTCCTCCTGACCTGTATATTAACTTCTTGCATGTACTATTTCTCTCAAATTTTCAAGATCTCTTTAAAATCAGCATGTCTCTGCAGACAACCTCAGTCTGATTTATTTAGTCTTTGAATGTGTCAGCAATTTTAACAGATTATCAGATAACTTTTGTTGTTAGCAATAATAATGATACAAATGGAATATGTATTTAAAATGTAATGAAATTACATTAACTGGGAGGAATCTACCCTTAAAGCTAATATTCTTTAAATTATTTTTTTCTTATATACAAGTCCAAATGATTAAATTGATAATCGAATACTTTTGTTTAGAAGGAACCGCAACGCTGATAGATCTACCATGTATGAAAATAAATTGGAGCTTCAATTTGTTTTTTTTTGTTTTTGTCCTCTGATGCAAAAGATGAACCACTGTGGAACACAGGCACCGATCTGGTTGTCTCTGAGAGACTCAGAAACACTGCCTCCACCTGGGGAGATTAAACAACTGACAGCTTGTGCCACATGGCAGTTTTTGTTCAACACTACAAAAGACTGCTGTCTCTTTCGAATCCCTGTGTCTGTAAGAAACTGTGGAAATTTTTTTGTGTATTTACTACAGCCCACTCAGGGATGTATGGGATATTGTGCAGAAGGTAAGAAAACATTAGTAATATACATACACTACTAATTATGAAACTGTGTGTGTTATTATGTGTCATTTTCTGAATAAGTGGTATTATTGTTGTTGTTAGGTGCCATCAAGTTGATACCAACTCACAGTGACCCTATGCACAACAGAATGAAACACTGCCCGGACCTGGGCCAACCTCACAATTGTTGCCACGCTTGAACCCATTGATGTTGCCACTTTGCCAATCCGTCTTGCTGGTATTGAGCTAGTGCAAATCTTGTCATGAGATTAAATCTTCCATTATTACTAGAGAAAAAGCCACATTTAGAGCTTAAATTGGCCAACATATTTATTTGTTGTTGTTATTGCCGTGGAGTTGGTTCCGACCCATAGCTACCCTGCACAGGGTTTCCAAGGCTGTAAATCTTTACGGGAGCAGAAAGCCTCATCTTTCTCCTGTGGAACAGCTGGTAGTTTCAAACTGCTGACCTTGCGGTTCGCAGCCATATTCGCTTCTCAAAATACACATTGATATGAAAAAATCAAAGCAGACTTGTCATTTATCCACTTAACCTTAAAAATTCTTTTGGTTTCCTTATTCTTGTTCACCCCGTTTGAATTAAGGACTAAAGATGGTGAGTAAGGTTATTGTGAAAAAATGTGTTTAATTTTCGAAGTATGAATATTTATTAAGTGCTTCTTAGGTGCCACAAATTATTTCAGGCCTCCAGTTTATGTGTTGTTTTGTGCCGTGGAGTCGGTTCCAACTCATAGCAACCCTGCATAGGGTTTCTGAGGCTATAAGTCTTTATGGGAGCAGAAAGCCTTATCTGTCTCCTGCAGAACAGCTGGTAGGTTTGAACTGCTGACCATGAGATTAACAGCCCAATTTGTAACCACTGTGCTACCAGAGCTCCTTCCTCCAGTTTATAGTGCTGAACAAAACAGATGAGATCTCAGCACTCTTGGAACTTACATTTTAGTGGAGGACCTCAAAAAATACTCATAAAAATCAGCACGATGGAGCACAAAGAATAAAATAACTATCCTGAGTCCTTACTCATACAAATAATAGCATTGAAGGAATAAATAAACGGGAGAAAGGGAGTGAGCCTTAAAGAAGAATTGCAAGAATACTTGTATATGTAATTACAGTCCTATGTAGAAGGTGGAGCTTAACACTCTATCTGCCATTTGTCTGGACTGGGTTTAGTGACTCACTTCTAAAGAATAAAGTATGGAAAGGAAATAAATAGTGACTTTACAGTGGAGAAACCTGGCAGGCACTACCTTGATCAAATGATCACAGCTAACAGCATGAGCAAAAACGCATGTTGACATAATGTGATATAACATCTCCAGCAAAAATGTATGCTGATAACACACCATAAAAAAGGAGACTTCACTTCGTGGCACAATGGTTAAGCCCTAGTCTGCTAACTGAAAGGTTGGTGACTCCAGCTCACCTGTGTCTCCATAAGAGATAAGACCTGGCAATCTGCTTCTGTGAAGATTCCAGCCTAATCCTATGAGAGAGTTCTGTTCTATTCTAGAGGCTCTTTATGAATAGGAATTGACTTGACAGCACATAGCAACGGCACCTGTGATATACTTCCTCACAAAATAGGGTTCAAATCCATTTATGAGGGAAAATTGTTGTTAGCTGCTGTTGAACTAGCACCCAATTCATGGTGATCTTGTGCAAAGTGGGATTGAAAGGTCACTGAGTCAGTTTTTTACAGCATCATGGCAACATGCAAACCTCTGGGAATTGAACCCGAGTCTCCTATTTGGAAGGCAAGAATTCTGCTACTGAATCACCAATGTCCTTATCAGAAAATATTAGTCAAACTTAGATGGCAGTTTATTCCACAAAGTAACTGAAATGGATCCTGGAATAGGAAAGGACATTGGTGTAATTTGAATACAGTCTGCAATTTATTTAATAGTGTAGTCCCAATGCTAAAATTTGACTTTTCACTAATATATGTCATATATATGGTTATATGTTATATGTAATATATGTAGAAAAGATTGAAGTTGTCAAATACTTCATTTTGCTCAGAGCAGCCATCAACACTCACGGAAGCAGCAGTCAATGAATCATACGACGTATTGCATTAAGCAAATCTGCTACACAAGACCTCTTTAAAATGTTTAAGAGCAAAGATGTCAGTTTGAAGACTGAGGTGCATCTGACCCAAGTCATGGAATATTCGATAACCTCATATGCATGTGAACTTTGGACAGTTAATAAGGAAGACTGTAGAATTGATGCATTTGAGTTATGGTGTTTGAGGAGAGTATTAAATGTACCATGGACTGCCAAAAGAACAAACTAATCTGTGTTGGAGAAAGTATAACCAGAATGTTCCTTGGAGGCCAGGATGGCCAGACTTTGTCTCTTATACTTTGGACATATTATCAGGAGGGACTAGTCTCTGGAGAAGGTTAGCATAGTTGTAAAATGGAGTGTCAGAGAAAAAGGGGAAGACTCCCAATGAGATAACTGATGGATTGGTACAGTGGTAGCAGCAATGTGCTCAAATATAGCAATGATTGTGAGGTTGGCTCAAAACCAGGCAGTGTTTCATTCTGTTGTGCATAAGGTCACTATGAGTTGGTACCAACTCAATGGCACTAATAAATATATGTTTTGCAATATATATTAGCACTTGGGAAAGTGGAGTAAGGGGTATATGAGAATACTCTTATTATATATGCAACTACATTGTGAGTCTAAAATTATTTCAAACTATAAATTTAATACAGAACACAAACAATAAAAAATTTGGAAAAGCAGTCAGTCAGTGCTGTAAATTAAATACAATACCTCAATCTGAAATGGATTGATGTGGGACAGGATGCTATCTTACTTAGGAAACCTGGGCAAAGTCTGAATTTGAGATAATGAATGATTTGAAGAAGCCAGCCATGATAAGATATGGAAGAAGTGTATTCCCTATATCTTGAATCCAAGAAGGAATTAAATAGGAAGTCCTCAGGTGTTAGTAATAGAGCAGTTTAAGAGATCTTGCAGATAGGCGTCTGTAGACCTTCCTGAGGAACTCCATCATTAACTTGATGGCCAGCTCACTGTCTCTAAATTCTCTTAGCAAGGAATCTGATGAGTCTATTGTCAATCATGTATGTGTCCTTATTTCAATTGTGACCAGAGGTTTAGGTTATAAGAATAGCTAAGATAGCTGTAGATTAATTTCTGGAATCTTGTACATGAGTATGCAGGAGACAATTCCCAGACTTGCCATTAAATTGTTGTTGTTGTTGTTGTTAAGTGCCATTGAGTCAGTTCTGACCCACAGCAACCCTTTATAGGGTTTCCAAGGAGCAGCTGGTGAGCTTAAACTGCCAACCTTGCAGTTTTGCAGTCTGGCACATTCACCCACAGCGCCACACCTAGCTGCATATAAATAATTTGGGAGTGCAGTGGCTCTGAAGGATAAGTACTAGAGTGCTAGCCACAAGGTCTGTGTTTTGAGCCTACCAGCTATTCTGCAGGAGAAACATGAGACTTTCTTCTCCTACAAAGATTTACAGCCTTGGAAAGCCTATAGAGGGTCCCTGAGTCTGAATCAACAGCACAGCACTTAATGATATCCACATAAATAATTTAATGATGAAGACTCAAATTTTAGAAAATAAGTTAGGAAAACATTTATAATTGTTGTAGAATAAGATCCAATTGCATCTCCCTTCTCTCATTATGAAAAAAGAAAAAAATTATCATAAAAATAAAATGGAAAACAGCTAATCAATTCTTAGTCTGTTTTAAAACATACTTCTCCAGAGAATTGCCTTCTTGGATATATGTAGAAGTATACATTTTTTAAAATATTCACTGGAAAAATAATACAAATCATTTGCTTGCAGTTACTTCTGATGCAAAATTACAGCAATGTGATCCTGATGAAACTGAAATTGGAGGTGATTGTGTTCGTAAGTATTACATTTTGTATTTTTAAATAATGTACTGATAAATTGATCATTTCAACAGCTTCATATCTTGAAAGTAGGCAGTATATTGGTAGAGTTTGACAATATCCTTAAAAATGTTCATATCTGTTTGTGTAGCAATTCTATTTCTAAGAATGCATCTTAAAGAAATATTTAAGGAATGTACATGCGTAATATTTATAATAGCGTTTTTTAATAATGTGAAAATAGGAAACCGCATATATACAATAAATAAATAGTGATTGATTCAGTATTTAAGATGTATCAATAATGGTGAAATACCCTGTAAATACAATTAACCTGTTGTAATACATCTTTGTTATTAGCCAATATTCATGTTACACTGTAGTTTAGAAATCAGATTATATGTACAGTACAATCTCCTTTTTGTTTTCTAGAAATGCTTTCATTGTCAAATAAGTCTTGAAGAATGAACACCTACCTAAAATGCTAATGGGCCATGAGTTTTCTCTTTTTAAAATTTCTATTCTTTTCTATCTCTTTGAAATGGGTAAATATTATTTCAACTGTTGAGAAATACTCTTATTCTAATAATTCTTTAAATAAATCACTGAGTTGCATTACCATGACCTATTCCAATTGTAAATGGATTTTTCCAGCCTCCTTTTCTAGTATTCTTTACACAAGCTATTCTTTTTGAAATTCTTTGCTTATTTATACCCTGCAATTTAAGTTCTTAAAATATTTAAGCAATATCATTAATTATAGTACCACTAAATATTGTTTATTGTACATAGTTGTTATTGTTAAGTGCCTTTGAGTCAGTTCCAACTCATAGCAACCCTATATAAGGTTTCTGAGGAGTAGTTCGTGAGTTTGAACTGTCGACTTTGCAGTTCGAACCGACCTTTTGGTCCAGAGCACTATCCTGCAGGGCCACCAGTACTACAGGTATATAGGCTAGGATTGACAATATGCTGTGGGGTACAACAATCCAATCCATTACAGTAGGTAGGGGTGTGTTTTATGATGTACATATATTATAGCAAAGTCCACTCTCCTCCTTTAATAAACAGTAAATCTCAGCTACATGTTTTGCTTTTAGGTATTTTTATGTAATGAATTGAAGAAAAACTGCTATACAAAATCATACACAGTTTGGGGATATAACATTAGAATGGAAATATTGTGTCAAGCATCAACAGATTGCTTCTTGATAAAATAGAAATCATACTACTAAGCATGTGTTAATATTAGAAGACACAAAGAGGTTATAATTAATTTATGACACTGTTTTTGAAACATATTTTAAGTGTATTATTTTTTTAAGTGTACATTGCTTCAAGCAATGATAAATTTAAAAAGAGAGATTATACCTTTTAGGATAATTGATTCAAAAATTTAAATTGTCAGGAACCACTTTTTCTCAGTTTACTGAATTTTTCCACAATCTATGTGACGGGGTGGTTCTAACCAACCAGCCGGTCCTTAGAAACCCTATACAACAAGGTCACTATGAGTCAGAACCCATTTGACGCCACTTAACAACAATAAAACAAACATGACAGGGCAGAAAAGCTAATTTTGTGATTGTCATAAAATTACTTTATGCATAATAAAAATTTCAAGCAAATTTAAAAATACTTTTAAACCTTAATTTTATAAAAGTTATCTTAGTCCTTCCCGCCATGTGTGAAACAGAACAAAAACTCACTTAGAGGTATTTCTCGTTCCCTGATTGAGTTATTAACAAATTCCCAGAAATTAAAAACTGGGAAATTTCTCTAGGAATTTCTGAAAAAAAGCATCTAGCTCTTTTTAACTTCCAGAAAATGAAAACAATACAGTATTTGCTATATTTCACTAAAACGGTATAATCATTCCTGCAATAAACACCTCTTCTGTTCCAGAGTATTAGTGAAAATGACAAGTAAAATCATAAGTCATTTGATTTTACTTTCCAAGGACTCTTTTTCTTTATAACCTGAAGTGATAATATATAAAACTTTACTTTAAATTTTTTATTTCATCCTTTAGAAAACATAATTACTCAAAGAGCTAGCTCCTTCAATGGTAAACATGTTCAAAATGTATTAATATAAGCTTGAGGAGATGTTGACTTAGTATACTATCAGTATTTGGGTGACTGTGGGTCAGAATAAGATATGTTCTACTTTGTTGATAGCTAGACAATAGTTATTTTTCTTAATTTCTTTCACATTTCCTTGATATATGGAGTCCTGGTGTGTTGTTGTTGTTGTTGTCAGGTGCCATCGAGTCGGAACCGACTCATAGCGACTCCATGCACAGCAGAACGAAACAATGTTCGATCCTGGGCCAACCTCACCACCGCTGCCACCCCCGAGTCCATCAATGATGCCACCTGGCCGATCCATCTCGTTGGAGGTCTTCCTCTTTTTCTCTGACCCTCCACCCTACCCAGCATGACATCCCTCTCCAACGATTGTTTCCTCCGGACTACATGTCCAAAGTAGGAGAGACGAAGCTTAGCCATCCTGGCCTCCAAGGAGCACTCTGGCTGCACTTCTTCCAAAACAGATCTATTGGTTCTTTTGGCAGTCCATGGCACCCTCAGTATTCTCCTCCAACACCACAACTCAAAGGCATCAATTCTTCTACGATCCTCTTTATTCACTGTCCAGCTTTCGCATCCATATGAGGCTATTGAAAACACAATGGCCTGGGTCAGGCGCACCCTAGTCCTCAAGCTGACATCTCTGCTCTTCAAGATAAGCACTTGACCAGAAAATTGGTTTGAACTTCAAGGTTGGTGGTTCAAACTCACCAGCTGCTCCTTGGAAACCCTATACAGGGTCGCTATGAGTTGGAACTGACTCGATGTCATTTAACACCAACAACAATCCTTAATGTAAATCTCCAAATTACTGTTTTCATCTGCTTTTACTGTTAGCTAGTCTCCATATTTATTTTAGATGCTCAACTAAAAATGATGCCTTTTCTCCCACCAGGTCAGCTGTCTGCTTCATTGCCACCAACACTTCCAGGAAGGCCTGAGGTGGTGGTAGAATTGATTGAGTCCAGGCTTTTCTGTAGATGTGCCTTTGATGTTTCTCCTACAGATGACTCTGTGGGATTTCTCATAACCTGGTCTAGGCTTTCTTCTCAACAATTCAAAGAGGAGCTGAAACAAGAGACCACAGTTCAGGCGTTCTCTCTTTTAGAACTTGATGGCATAAATCTCAGGCTTGGGGACAAGGTATGTTTAAAAACAAGCTGACTATCTATTCTTTTCATCAATGTATCAATTTTAACAAATGAGTGGTTTTTTTTTTTTTCATATCATAATTATAGTTTTTGTACCCAGAATATAAAAACACTAATATTTTCCTTTTTTCTCTTTTTCCTTGGCAATTGTGCTAATTCCAATGCTAATGGGGTGAGTCAGAAATCTTAGAACTATGAGTATCAGTTTTGTTAGATCACTTGATTGTAGTTGATGATTCCTTATAATTCTATATGGTTTTAAAGGATACACTCTTATTCTAGAAAAGGTTTTAAATAGTTTCAAAGACGATAATACTTTTTATCTCTTTATAGATACATTTAAAACACTCTGCTTTAATTTGAGTGTTAAATAAGTCACATGAGAGACTTTAAAATCTTCACGGCAAATGGAATTAAAAGATAACGAAATTTTTCCACAAAGGTTTTGAAGACCCCTCATACATTATACTGATAGAGTTTTCCATGGGTTTCAAGCAATTTTTAAAGTTATTTAGTGTGGTATGCATCAAGAATTGAATTTAGGTATTTGAGGATAATGCTACACATTTTCTCCCCTATTGTATTACGAAGTGATTATTTGTTACCTCTATTTATAGATATTTTGTAGTGCTTCTGTCTTTTTCTTGGAGAAACCACATGTACAAAGTTTAGCCGTGGAAAGCCAAGAATTTTTTGCAGGCATTAAGGTATGTAGCAATGGGAATGATCAAGATTATTTTCTCTATGGCTTTGTTTTCAAAACTGTGATGTGTGATGCTAGCAAGCCCTCAACATAAGACTGAATCCAAAATGTTGAGACCCAGGGATCTATTTTTAAAAAATAACCCAGATAACCCTAATACACACTAAGCCTGACTGCCCTTATTAATAAACTGTAGTTGAAATATACTTGGATGATTTCAGAAGTATCTTAAATTAGAACCACACAAAGCTCTATTCCTATAATTTATTCTACCATGTAACTAAAAACTGGTGGTGGTGGTGGCTATGTGCCTTGGAATCAGTTCTGACTCATAGCAACCCTGAATAGGGTTTCCAAGAGCAGAAAGCCTCATCTTTCTCCCAAGGAATAGATGGTAGTTTTGATCTGCTGACCTTGAGGTTAGCAGCCTGACTCGTAACCACTGTGCTACCAGTGTGTTCAAATTTAGCTATTGCACATTTGGGAAGACAAGCACTGAGTCATGTACTAGCGCTTCTCACTAGAATAGAATTGACACAGGGTGATGGAACCTGAGGATGGCAGAGATGACACTAACTGATGAGCTGATCCATCAGATGAGTACAGGTGATGGGGAATCCAGGTGTAGTGTAAGGAATGGGGTAGTACCAAGAGATCCCAGTAGGCAAGCACTGTGCCCTGGAAATTCTCAGGAACAGGACTGGAGTTTGACCTGCCTCATTCCTAGGCCAAGGACAAGATGTGTATTTAATAGTTTGAGTAAGACTATGACTCAAGAATAGATAAAGCCTGTTCCTGAGTCAAGTCCATGTTTACACAACAGGGACTAGGGAAAGGAGTGAGAAAGTGGACTACAATGTCAGAAGAGTGGAATCAGAGGGTTGAGGAACTAGATTCTCAGAATACTGTAAATTCAGTGGGGTGGGGAACTACTTTGTCAGAATAGTGTAACCACAGTGGCAATGTAGGGGAACAGAACGCTGGACCTGGGGAACACAGGAGTCCTTTTACCTACATTGGTAGGTATTTGGTTAACAAACAATGCCAGGGCTAGTAGTCAATCCTCAGGTACTTATTTCAGTTGGTTAAAATACAATTTTTTTGCTGTTAAGTGATGCGAAGTAGGTTTCGACTCATAGTGAGCCTGTATAGGTTTCTGAGGAGCAGCTGGTAGATTTGAACCACTGACCTCACAGTTAACAGTCCAGTGCTTATTCTACAATGTCACAGCAGGACACCTAAGAAGAATGTTCAGTTCTAAAATACAGCTGTAGGGAGGACTAGCCAAGAACCAAGACTCTATACAAAATTCCTATCTCAAATTAGAATTGGTCTGTGAACTGGGATAGGGTCTGTCCTAAAATGCAGTTCTAGATAAACCCAGCTGTGGAAAACGGAGTCCAGGAAATAAGGTGAGAGTTGAGATATTTCAGGTAACAACAAAAATTTGATTTACAATTAAAAAAAAAAAAAAGATTTAATGTCTAATTGAGTTGCCAAGTAATAATCCCTAAGAATAAACACCCATTGATGGTGTGAGTTAGTAAATATTAGCAAAACATTTCTCCACTGCCTACCACAGTCAGATTCGGATGCGACTTCTCCACTATGTGTTGGAAAATCAAGTTGGGGGTGAACCCACAGCAGTGTAGCTGTATCAATACTCTTCTGTGTATTGCTCATATTTCTATAAGTTTAATTTTAATTTGTCTTGTTTAATTAAAATATTCCAGTGTTCACTACCAACTCATTTAGCAAAAGATGAATTGTTGAAAAAACTGCCTTTTAATGTATTATATAAAAAATAAGTTATATTTTACCATAACTGCACTATACATATGTATTTATATCAGTTACATCCTGAAATGAGCACCATTTCAGAAGATGGGAAAGAATACCAGTTGAGAATACAAAGCACCATTCCTGTTGTTTGTTCTGAATTCAATGAGCTCGATCAAGAATGCAAAATCTCATTAACACTGAAAACTGTTGATCAAGGTAATATTCTGAATTTATTTAATTGTATTATTAGTTCTAAAATAATAATGATTCTTTCCCTTCTAGAAAATGTCAATGGAATTTGTGCATATAATTACTCATAGTTCATGTTTTTTCCCCTCAGATTATAGCTGACTCATATTAATAATACTGTGTTAAATGTATGATTGTCAGAGCAATTCACATTTATCTATCTGGGCTTAATGTATAAAGGAAAACAATTCTACAAACCCTGGTGGCACAATAGTTAAGCACTTGGCTGCTAATTGAAAGGTCAGCAGTTCGAACTCACCAGTTGTTCTGTGGAAGAAAATACCTGATCATCTGTTCCCATAAACATTTGTTGTTGTTGTTAGGTGTCATTGAGTTGGTACCGGTACATAGTGACCTTATGCACAGCAGAACGAAACACTGCCCAATCCTGGGCCAACCTCACTACTGTTGGCACTCTTGAGTCCATTGATGCTGCCCCTTGGCCAGTCCCAGCTCGTTGGAGGTCTTCCTCTTTTTCTCTGACCGTCCACGTTACCAAACATATCCTTCTCCAGAAACTGGTCCCGTCTGACAATATGTCCAAAGTATAAGAGACCAAGTTTGGTCATCTTGGCCTCTAAGCCTAGGAAACCCTGTCTTGTAGGGTTGCTGTGAGTCAGAATTGACTAGATGATATACAACAATAGCAATGACAACAATAGTAATTCAGTGAACAGCCACTTTCTCCTCCTTCTCCAAAGCCTGCTTCTCTCCCTTTATGCCGTCTTCCTATTCTTTATTTTACTCATTGCTTTGTCTTCATGGATTGAGGAATAAACTACTCTTTCAGGCTTTCCAAATCATTCCCATTAAGGGTAATATAATAAATTACGTTAAATTTTTCAGTTTATAGATCTTACCATTCATTTTTCAGGGTGTTTCCTTAATGTAAGTTTATGATTGGGATCTTTGTTTTCAGATTATTTAGATTACTCATTAGATAGATGTTGGGGAACACTGTGGCCCCATGATAAGCACTGGACTACAAACTACAAGGTCCTCAGTTTAAGCCCATCCATCACTCTGTGGGAGAAAGATGAGGCTTTGTGCTCCATTGAAGAGTTGAAGTCTCAGAAACCACATACAGGGTTGCTCTGACTAGGAACCACACACAGAGTGGCTATGAGTAAGAACCGACACAAAGACACTTAACAGTAATAGCTGTTATAATGCATGACTACGTATACCTCACCGACACAGACATGTAGAGGTAGCTGAAATACTCACAAAGATATGGTAGACTATGAGAAGGCAAGCAGTGATATGGTCTTGGTACCGGTCTGACATTTTCCGTATCTTAATTTAATTTGCCTACGTTACTTGCCAGTAAAAAAGAGCTTTCTTTTGGTGAGTTCAAAAATACTAGTTATTTTATAGGAATAGTTCTGTATGGTTTCTTCTAGGGACCCCTTTATAAGCTCCTTTATTGTAACAATAATTTGGGAAGCAGCCAATTTAGCAGCTGCGAAAGCAAGGTTATTTCCTCTAATTTCTTAGCGATTGCTTTATGGAATTTTTGGCTCCTATTTCGAGCCTTTGCAGAAGGTTTTCCTCTGTTTTGCTAGTATCCAAGCAGAAGCTATCTTGGGGATGTTTCTACTCAGCATATTATAATCATAATTTGGTTTCCCCAGGGCCAACTAACATATGGATTAATTAATATAAATCAGGCAACCCAAGCTGATGAGCTTCAATAATGACTTTAAATTATTTAGCAGATTCGTAAGAATTTTAATGCAGTTTTAGAAAATATTTAACAATGCTTTGTAGTCCTGGTCTGGCACTGCAAGATAAAGCAATGAACCACAAGGTCGATTTGAACAACAATGTTGGTGGTTCAAACTCACCGACCACTCCAATACAGAGTAGCTATGAATCGGAACCTACTCTACCACACTTAACAACCACAACATGTAATTGTGTATGGGTCTAGCGAGTAAAAGAAATAGTATTCTTTGGATTTTCTCTAGGATTCATTCCAGATTCCACAGGGTGAATCTTAAAAGGCATTTCAGAAAAGGGCTTGGGAGATTGGCTTTGGCCTTTATGGCTTTGAATCTTTGGCAGATTCTTCAGGGAAGAAAGGAAGTGCAGGCAGTGTTTCCAGACCTAGTGTGCCACTGTGGGTTAATGCACTGGACTGCAAAGCTGGTTTGAACCACAAAGTTAGAGGTTCAAGCTCAAGAGTCCCTCCTCGGAAACCCTATGCAGTGTCGCTCTGGATCGGAACCTACCCAATGACGCTTAACAACAAGAAGAAGGTAAAGGAGGGTATGAAGCAGCAGCTGCAGACAGGAACCAAGGGAACTGCAGGGAGTTTAAGCATAGAGATCTCTGATTTAGCAATTCTTTATTCTGTTTGAGTCACTTGCAGAGAAGTTATTTTGTTATTTTGATGTCTTTGAGGAGCTTCAAGATACCAATCTAAAAAAGGTTCCTTTTGGAGTTTCTTAAAATGAGAACCTTTATTTTCTAGCTTATTGAACAGAGCATTTAACTTTAGAAAGAGCAAAGTTTATGCAGAGTATTTACTTATCATTACCAAGCAGTCAGACAAGAGCATATCAAAGAACCAAATGCTTATTCATGTAATGAGTGGGAATTCCTGAAGGAGGCTCAGCACTACTCTTACATCTGGTATTTCTCATGCTCTCAAAGACAGCATAAAGTTAGCTTTGGAAGGTCAGAATTTTCAGTTTCTCAGATCCAGCAAACATCCCTGAGATTCTTAGGGAATAACCCAAAATCCGAAAGAACTTTATGAAACTTTCTATTTTATAAAAACAGGAAGGAAAGAGAAAGACAAATCTTACTGTGATATTTAGAGAGCTTCTGTGTAAAGAAAGTAGAGTTCAGATCTGAGAGGTTTACTTTACCGTAAGTTCTGAATCTGTTGTAAAGAGAGAGGGCTCCAAAGTGACTCAGTCTGGTACTGTTGGTTTGAATCCCCAGCATCCTGGAAGTGACAGAAGCAAATCCACCTTCAGATTCCTTTGTGATTACCTAGAAATGTCTTAGCAAAGTACTAGTCTCACATTCTCTTAGTGGTAAAAACAGAGTTTTATTGAGTGGTAGAGAGATTTGTGAATTATAAGGCACCAGAACTAAGGCAGGTTCTATACTGTTCAAGTATGTGGCACTGTGGGTTAATGCACCAGACTGCAAAGCCTTTTGAACTGCGAAGTCGGCAGTTCAAGCTCACCAGCTGCTCCTAGGAAACCCTATACAGGGTCACAACAACAACAAAATATACCGTTCAAATTGTGAAAGAGAAATTTTTGTTGATGGAGTAAACAAAGGGTTACATGGGTGGAATTACATGACAAAGAGTTACAAGGAGATTGTTAAACTACAATCCTTCTTGGCATTATCATTTGTATTTCTAACCTCTAAGAGTATGTTGATCAAAACATTCTTTTAACAAGCCACAGCAAACGTTCTCAATAAACATCTTTTAACAAACAATCCCTCACACTAGCTGAAATGTTGACCCATGAGCCCTTTGGGTTGCAAGAAGTTTAAATTTTATAAGAAGTCCAACTGTCTCTTCAGAGCAGCAGAAGCAGAGTTTTAGGCCAAGCTGCAGCTTTATGGAAAGAGAAAGACTGTGTGCTGGCGGCCAGGAAGCAGGCTTGCGGAATGTGCCCGTTGGTTCTTTAAATGATTATATATATCCCTGACTGTTTTTGTGTACATCCAAAAAAAACCTCGGAGGGAATAAAAGCAGATATTTTTGAATGCTGATTCACGGAGAGAATTGTAATCATTGCAATGAGACAATATGCCATGGGGTGAGTGTAAAACCCACTTTCTCCCATGTAAACTACCACTCAATTCACAATAAAAACTTTTTTTAAAAAAAGAGAAAATTTGAAATGTTAATTAAAAAATATCGATGGCAATATTTGTCTAAACAAAATCAATGTTTTTACATTATTTGTTATCGTCAAAATAATTAATCAACTTCAATATAGTCCTGGTATGGCTCTGTGTGATAAACACTGGACCAGAAGGTTATTTGAACCATAAGTTTGGCGGTTCAAATGAACCAGCTATTCCTTGGAAACCCTATACAGGTTCGCTATGACTTGAAACTGACTTGTAGGCACTTAACAGCATACAAAAATATTCTGTTCTCTTTACATGAATAAATCTATAATCACCTGCAAACAATGCAAAAACAATAAACAAAATGCACCCTGTTTCTGTGAAAAAAAGAATCCTAATTCCAGCACTAACATCAAAATTATATTCTTTTTCATCCTAAGATTTGGCCCTGTTGTTGTTGTCATTAAGTACTGTCAAGGCAGTTCTGATTCATAGGACCTTGTGTATAGGGTTTCCGAGGCGCAGATGATGAGCTTGAACCACTGACCTTACATTCAAACCAACCGAGCAGTCCAGTGCATTAACCCGTAGTGCCACACAGGACTTAATGCATGTTTTATTGTGAACTGAGTGAAAGTTTACAGGGCAGATCATCAGTTTTACATTCAACAAATCATATGCTTTGTTTTATTACAATGATTATAATCCCCTCTATGTACCATCAATATCAGTATTTCTATTCATTTTAGCTCTTTTTTTTTAAAACACACAATATATATAATAATTTACACCACCAAAGGGCACATTCTACAAGTCTGCCTGCTGGCTGCCAGCTCTCAGTCCCTCTCTTTCCATGAATCTAGAATCTTCAGCTGCTCCGTCTCTCCATGTCCCCATCTCTGCCTCCATCTCTGGTGGTGCTGCTTCTCTGGATAGGGTCCCACCTCCTGTTCATGCTCTTCTCCCTTGATGGTCCTAGGGTCCTCTATTACTGGAATTAACTACTGGAATTAACTACTCCCCCCTTTTAGTCCTTTACCATTGTGACTATTGTAATTCATCACACCATCATATTTTTTTAAAGAGAAAATCATTTAAGAATAAACTCTCAATTCAGTGTCCCATGTTGACTGGGCTATTAAATGCTTTTGTTAGTACATTTCCTTAGGAAAATTTTTAATGCAGGTTTTCATTAAAATAGGTAAAGAACAGCGAGGCTTAAATTTGGCACTCTCTTCCTGTCACGTGGATCTTCATCGGACATCATCCTGTGATAATGAAACCTGTAGCCACGCTGTTGTGTACTACACTGCTATAACAGATTTTTCTCAAGATGGAGATAGAATTACGAACGTTCTGGTGGATCCTATAGTCAGTGAGGACTTCCTGTGGAACAGCTACATTCCAGACAGCATCCAGGTTGGCAAATTATAAATGCATCTTAATAAATGAAGCTTCAAAAAGATACATGTATTTTATCAGCATATCTCATAAAGTTTACATTTTAAAATTAGTTGGTAAAAATTGCTATTTTTTAAAATGATTCAATTTCGACAACGGGTGAAATGATAATTAATCTAAATGTATTTAGATTGCTAAACAATTTATTGCATATCATTAAATAATAATTAATGAAAATATTTACTGAAAATTTATTTCCTTTTAAGATCAGAGTAAAAGATGTCCCAAGTGCTTACTGCTACTCATTTACTGACCCTCATATAATTACATTTGATGGCAGGTAATTTTCTGAGAATTTCTTTCAGTAGTTTTTATTTTGGTCTTTGTTGTGGTTTTGCTTTAAATACCGTGCAGTTTTTAAAAATAATTTTTTTCGTCCACCAAATAATTGCAAAGTAAAGGCATATATGGATGATTTGTTCAGGTGTGTTTCCAAAAGTCATTTATTTGTATAGAAATTTTTGCCTTGAAACTTATTCCTTAGTAGAAATATGGACTTGTGAGGCTGAATTTATAAAAATGAAGATTATTACAAATGCAGAGGTCATCTTTGCTTGATCGTTTATTTTTTATGATGATTAGATTATTTACTTTAGTGTTATGTACTGAGTTCTGTTTCTACATGACATTGAAACAAGCTTTAAGGGTTAGGCAAGATGATTAAGCTAGCACATTAAAATTTGACTTAAAAAAAAAAAAATACATACACGAAAAAAACCAAACAAACAAAACAACGTTAGTTACCATGTTGACCTGATTCTGAAGCAAAGCAACCCATGTGTCAGGAAAGAATTGTGCCGCATAATGTGTTCAGTGGCCAATTTGACAGAAGTAGGTCACTAGACCTTTTTTATGAGGTGCCCCTGGTGGACTCAAACCTCTAACTTTTGGGTTGGCAATGAGAGCATTAGTCATCAACTCTACCAAGTAATGTGACAGTTTATTTAATGCAATTCAATTAGACAAGATTAATTTTCAGCAAGTAAGTATTAAACCATGTTCTAAGTGTTGGAGTATGGCCATAAATAAAACATTTTCTGACCATAGCTTTCAATAGGTGAAGAGAGGTATAAACATGATTAATAAAGAAAATATTTAGTATAACTGATGAAGATGTATACTATGAGGAAAAGTAAAGCAGAGGTGAAAAAGGGAGAGCTGGAATTAGGGCTTGCACATTATATTAAAATAAGGGGTTAGAAAAAGTCAGAATGTAACAATGACATTTGAGCAAAGACTTGAAGAAGGTGAAAGAGAAAGCCAAAAGCACATGGGAAGGAGAGTTTTCAGCAAGCCTGTCTTCCTTTAGAGACCAGGTAATGGAGGGAAGGAATAATGGGAGCGATTTAGGTGTTTATCACTGCTTTCTTTTATTCAGTTCTACCCAACTAAATGGTCATAAAAGGATGATTGGAAATTTAGGTATTTTATTCTTCCATCAAAATATATTAAATGCCTATCAATATATTTACTAATACATGTTTTTGTGGAAGATCTAGTATTGTGATATGTATACCTGTTCTTAATGCAGTTGACTTTTGTTGATGATAGAGATTATGATAATTTCAAGACTGGGACATTTGTGCTCTATAAGAGCACATCTCGTGATTTTGAAGTCCACGTACGTCAATGGGTCTGTGGAAGTTTTCGCTATCCTGTGTCATGTAACTGCGGATTTGTTGCCAAGGAAGGAGGTGATGTCGTTACTTTTGATATGTGCAGTGGTCAACTACATGAATCACAGCCATATTTATTTGTAAAGAGTCAAGATGGGACTAACAACATCAAGATAACTGAAGCTTACTTAGGAAGAAAAGTCACAGTATGTATGATTCTTTACTATTAAAAGTATTTCTCCTTTTTCTCTATAATTAAAATAAAAATTTAAATGGCTATTCATCTCTAATAAATTAGTAGTTTTGGGGTTCCAATATTAGATTTTCAAGATAATAGAGTAAGTAAGTGTGGAACTGCTTCATTAATGTGAGCTAACTATTTATATCCCTAACTTATTTTCTAGGTGAATAAAATTAAAATATAAATGAAACCACTAAAAAGTGGAAGTGAATATTTTTATACCATTGAGATGACTAATAATTTTTAAAGATAACATATATGTGACTATGTATTTTGTAAAAGTCCATGACTAAAAACCAAATGCAAATCAAAATTTCAGAAAATAATTTGCAACATATAAAGCATATGATAATATGAAAAAATACCTTTATACATAATGATATATTATACATAACATATAAATTAGCACTCCATGTAGAATGAGTAAATAATAAAATTGGTAAATTCACAAAGAAACAAAACTGAAAAATACATCCAAAAATACAAATAAAACAGAAACAATGTTAAAATCATTTAAACTCATTAGAAATCAAAGAATGTAGGTCAAAAGAATGATGGTATTTCTACCTAAATTCTAGCTAACATTTATGGAAATTTTAATTCTCCACTTTAGTGGCAGTTCAGGGTTTCAAATCGCTTATACAATATTGTCACTAATAGAAATTGTTAGTTTTTCTAGATTGCATTCTGAAATATTTTGCTGAGGGTGAAGAGGACTTAAAATGCTTACTGATGAAGACAGCCTCTTCTTTCTCCCACAGAAAAACTGATGGGTTTGAACCATCAACCTTGTGGCTAGGAGTGCAAATCAGAAGAACAAACAAACCTAGCTTGGAAGAAGCACTGCCAGAAACAACCTCATAACAACCCTGCAGAACAGAGCTTCATGTAGGATTTCTCAGACTGTAAATCTTTATCAGAGTAGACATCCTTATCTTTCTTTCATAGATTAACTGGTCCATTTGAACCACCAACCTTTTGGTTAACAGCCAAACACTGAACCCATTGTGTCATTAGGGTTCTCTCTCTTGATATATATAAACACACACATGTACACACAACACATTAGGGAGCTTAAAAGGTCTCTCTGTGTGTGTATATATTGTTGTTTGTTGTTGAGTCAATTCCGACCCATAGTGACTCTATATAGTGTTTCCAAGGAGCAGCTGGTGAGCTTGAACTGCCAACCTTGCAGTTCAAATCGACTTTGCAGTCCAGCACATTAGCCCACAGCGCCACACCAGGACTATATATATACATAAAGAACAAATCCTGGTGTGGTGCTATAGGATATGCGCTGGACTGCTAATTGCAAGGTCAACTGTTCAAACCCACACTAGTCACTCCTTAGAAACCCTATGGTGGTAGTTGTGGTGGTGTGCCATGGAGTTGGTTCTGATTCATAGCAATCCAGCATAGGGTTTCCAAGGCTATAAATCTTTATGGAACAACACAGCTACATCTTTCTTTTGTGGAATGGCTGGTAGTTTCGAACTGCTGACCTGGAAGTTAGCAGCCCAACTAGAAACCCTATATAGGGTCGCTATGTGTGGAAACTGACTTGATGACACTTAACAACAGTAACAATACATATAAGCATATATATGGAGAGAGAGACACCCAGAGATAGAGTTTTTCTTTCTGCCACAGAAAAACGGATGGGTTTGAACCATCAACCTTGTGGTTAAGAGTGCATTGCTTACCTACTGCACCTGTAGCGCTCCTTTTAAAATGGTGGAGATGGTGTGTATTTATTGACAGGCAAAGATATTCATGAAACATAGGAGAGGTTTTTGAATGACATGCACTTCATGTTGGGTAGAAATGTGAAGTTTAATTGCTTGTAAAAATAAATTTTCTATTAAGAGCCCATAGCATACATCTCTGCAGAAAATAAAGGGACAACCTATTTTCAAATTTAAAAAAATTAGACTTAAAAAGGAAAGTCTAAGGAGTAAACACCAGAAATCTATCTTTAGTGGGTTTGGAAGGAGAGTTTCACTGTAGGTAAATCCAAGTCACTGGAAAAGGGGAGGGGTTATTCCTATAGTGGATGAGGTGTATGTTAGTCAAATAACAGAGGCTCATCCAGCAAACTTCCCTTACTCTGATTCTCCATTCACCAAGCAATCTTCCAGTCATAATCTTTCTTCTGATTTTATTTGCAAGAGAATGCTTACTAACCATAGGCAAATCAGTTGTTCTGGAATTATATTTCTATACAGATAGAGACAGTATTTTTGACATGTTATCAGGAGAGACCAGTCCCTGGAGAAGGACGACATCAAGCTTGGTAAAGTGGAGGGTAAATGAAAAAGAGGATGATCCTCAACTAGCTGCACTGACAGAGTGGTTGCAACTATGGAGTTAAGCATAGCAACAATTGTGAGGCTGGTGCAGGCCTGGATAGATAGTGTTTCATTCTGATGTACACAGGATTGCTATGAGTAGGAACCAACTCTGTAGCACTTAAAAATAGTATTAGAAGCCATTGCTCTACTTAAGTCTTCTTGAACTAGAAAGGGAGCATTTCTGAGTCAGAATTGAGTTGATGTCACCTAACAACAACAACATAGAGAATCCAATTCTATATTAAATAATTATTACCAAAACTATTACTTGACAAACATTCCCCTCAAAATTTATAGCTATTTTAATTGTATGAAACATTTCACATCTATTAAAATTAAATAATGGAGTTGTGAACAGTTTGTCAATAAAAGGTTGAACTTGGAGATTAAATGTTAAGCTAGCAAAATGCAAACATCCATTATTTTGACATACACTCTTAAAATTTATATTATATTTTGTCTTTAAATCAGATAAACAAATATGAGTTTTGTATTTTTAAAATAATAGTATTTTGTAGAATTAATACTAGACTGAAAAATCAGTTTGAACTGCAAGGTTGGAGATCAAAGTCACATGCTGCTCCTCGGAAACCCTACAGAGGGTCACTATGAGTTGGAAATGACTTGATGGCACTTAACAACACCATTAATCTATACTGACTGTTGTTGAAACATTCTTTACTTCTGTGTTGGTTGTTTCTGTGTTTCAGATTTGGTTTGTTTCTGGAGCCTTTATCCGTGCTGACCTCAGTGAATGGGGCATGAGTTTAACAATTAGGGCCCCTAGTACAGATTATAGAAATACATTGGGACTTTGTGGCACCTTTGATGGAAACCCAGAAAATGACTTTCATGATAAAAATGGGGTCAAAATTGATCAAATTTTTAATAATCTTGTTGCTTTTATTCATGAATGGAGGTAAGAAAGTAAATTGCTTTCCATTAATGATTGTATTAATTTTAAAAACTTAAAATGGGTGTCAAGTAAATTCTCTGCTTTTTTACAGCACATTACTAGGGGAAAGGTTCTTGTCCAAATAACCATTTCTTTCTGTTTTCTGTCTTTAAGAATTTTACCAGGGAAAAGCATGTTTGATATAATGCCTACTCCTCTGACATCACCTGAGAAAATATCCTATTGTAGCTGTTCGGTGGACACTGTTTCATTGCATCTGGCCTCTAATTTTCTGGACAATGGTTATCAATCAGAAATTGTTTCACATTGTAAAGACTTCAAACATGTCAGATTCTCTTCTTTGATACCAGAATTAGATGTCACTTCTGAATATATTAATTCAGAAGCTTTTTTAAGAGATATGAACAAACATTTATCTGAAGAAGAAAATAATTTAAATTCCTTTCTTCCTGATCAAAAGTATGTAAACCTAAGCACATTGAACTCAAATTTACAAGCACTTCCTAGAAATGAAATACAAGATACAACAGCTTTGAACCATGAGACACACACACAGAACCAGGGGAGCCACATCCAAGAAATGGGGTGGAATCCACAAAAGAGATGGAAGCGGCAAAACTTTTATGACTTTCTTCCTTTGTTTGCTTTGCAAAGTCTCAGCCAAATTGACCTAGATGAATTTAGCTATTTTTTCCCTGAGGACCATGCTGATGATGTCCAACAAGAGTTTGACCATTCCTGGCCCACACCCTCTGGTCTCACCGAACACAATACCTCTGAACTCTGCCACCAGACTCTAGCCGACTCCAGCATAGGAAGACACTGTCGTGCTTTTCTTGGCAAGAGGTTAGACAGTGTTATAGATATGTGTGTTAAGGATCTACAGTTAAAAGATGATCTTAGCTGGGCAAAAGCAGGTCTGGCCCTTTTAGAAAATGAATGTGAAAAGAGGATTTGGGAAGAAGGAAAATACAACACAGTCGAATATGACAAATTGATTGAAGACATTCTGTTGGTATTGAAATGCCCTAATTTATGCAGTGGCCATGGGCAGTGTATGGAATGGGGATGTGCATGTTTCCCAGGCTTTAGTTCCTATGATTGCAGTGATGTGTATGGTAAGTAAATACCCTTAAACTTTGATATTGTGCATGCTATTTGATTATGGAACATTTTTCATTCTTTATTTCTTCTTCGGTATCATTGGATTTATTCAGATTATATAGAATAAAACCCTCCAAAATTGTTAATTAGTAAATGAATAGCTTTCTAAAAATGTACGTTACATATAGTGAAAGCTGAAGTCCTTATAATAGCCTAGAAGATAAAACATGATCTGGCATGCAATATGTCTCTGAATTCATCCCCTGCTACGGCTGCGCTCACATACTCCAGTCCAGATCTTTCGGTTTCCTTACTGTTCTGTGAATGTGCCTGGTTTTCTTTACCTCAGTGCTTTTGCACATGCTGGCCACTCTACCTGGAAAAATGTTCCCCCAGATATCCCTATATCTCTTCCTCTTATCTTTTCTAAGTCTGTTAACAAATGACATTTCAGTGAAGCCTTTCATTTCACCATAGTTATCAATATGTAACAAGTCAGGATATTTTACTTATTTATTTTGCTTATAGCCTCTCTCTCTACTAGAATGCAAATCCTGGGAAAGCAGAAAACTTTGGGTGTTTGGTTCAGTTCTGTTTCTCTAGTGATTATTACATAGCAGGTGATCAAAAAACATGGTTGAATAAATAAAAATGAATCAAGTATTTTATTTTTTAGCATTTACTATGTGTTCTTTTATCTGTTTCATTAAGAAATGTTAAGTGAATTATGGAAGTCTTTTTTTATCCCATTTTGAAAAAGTGTAACTGGACAGACTCCAATTTCTCTGTTCGCTTAGCCCATTTTTCAGCTCCATTTTGCACTGCAATGTATCAAGAATACTAAAATGGCAAAAACATAAATTTTGAAAACTTTTTCTAAAATTTAAAAGAGGAATTTAAACATTTTTAATATATTTTCTTGTTAACTACATTGTATTTTGCAAATTTTTTCCCTACAACTAATCTATATGGCATTAACCAAAATGACAAAATGAAAATATAGACCATTCTAATAATAATTTATTAATACTTGTCCTTTATTGACATCAAAATATTATTAAAACTTTAATGAAACTTCTATGTCCTATTTCATTTTTTTCCCCCTCAAAGACAAAGCTCCTGAAATTACAGAACTGGAGAATGCTGGGTTTTGTGATGTTCAAAAATATAATTGCATGATGGTGAGAGTTTTTGGTCTAGGTTTCAAAGAATTATCCTCTATTAAATGTGAAGTCACTAAACTGCAGGTATGTGAATTATAGGATTGATAAACAATTAAATTTTATAAATCATTCAGATTAATTTTTCTTCGATTAATTTGTCCAACAAAAGTTTGTCTATCAATTTGGTATATCAATCAGCAACATAACCGTAAAAGATTAACAGAATTTCTCACAGATCTGAACAGCAAAATGATTACTTTGCTTAACTCAAGGTTAACTTTATTGAAGTCTTTAAAATAAATTAAAGTATATTGCTCACTATTTTAAGTAATGGTAAGAAATTATTCTTGAAAGTAATCAAACAAATATCATGCTTCATAAGTAAAATAATATTATTTCTTTACAAATAAAAAACACAAAGAATATATCATTCTTCATTAGTAAAGATATATGCCACTGAATTTTAGGATACAGAGTTATGAAAATTTCACTTTTACAAGGTCAATTTCTATGAAGTAGAGGCTAGATATGCTTTTACCCTACAACCTTCTTTACCTAATTCTGACACCAACCATTCCTCCCACAGCACTCTGTGCTTCACATCTGGGGTCAATAATCCACTGCAATGATCACACAGAGCTCATAACAATACTCACAGTTATGGGGTTTATTAGAAAAGTGAGCAGGATACAATTCAGGATCAAAACCAACTCAGGACGCAGCAGTTCTCTGGTCTGTTGTCTGCCTGACTTCAGGCATGCCTCACTCCTGTTTTCATCCTCTCAACCATGTGGCCCCTTGGCCTCCGCCTGCTTAAGTAGGTGTTACAAAGTTCTTTTAGCCAGTTTGTGAATGCCCAAAGGGCACATTCTTGAAACCAGTCTCCTGTCTGTAGGTACTCAGCTTTACTTAGTCCATGGGCCTAAATTCCCAAGTGGCTCTGTTTCTCAATGCCACTGCCTCTGCCATCACTGTTTCTCTCACACATTACTCATGCTCTTCCTTTTTTGTTAGTTCTGGGATCTTCTGATGGTTCCTTTTAAGCCTAGGTGGCTTAAATTCAGTACCAGTCAGTGTAACTTCTGTTTATTATTATATGTACTATGCCAGACATTTATTTTTAACTTTATAGTTTGATTGTATAAAATTACAAGTAAAAGGTTTCTATAATTTAACAGAGATTAATTGCTTTCTCATTCTGCCTTCAGTATAATAGCAGTGAATGGGTCCTTGGAGAACCCATCTATGCCAATACTGTTTTTCAAAATAGTAGCAACGTTGTTTGTCAGCTGCCAGCTGATATACAGCAGTCTGATACCATGGATCTGATGGGTGGAAAACCAATTGTGAAATTGCAAATAAAGGTAACATCTCCTCAAAAAATTATATACATATATTTTATAGAAGTTTAAATTTAGTTATTTGTATATGTGTAAGAACTACATTTATATATGTGTAAGAACACTCGTTTGTCAGTTTGTTATATTGTGGTACAACATACTGTGGTGGCATGTGAGTTGCTGTGATTCGGAAAACTGTGCCACCAGTATTTAAATACCAGGAGGGTCACCCATGGTGGACAGGTTTCAGATGAGCTTCCAGACAAAGACAGACTAGGATGAAAGAGTGACGAACTACTTCCAAATCATTAGTCACTGAAAACCTTATGAATAGCAGAGAAACACTATCATATATAGTGCTAGAAAATGAGCCCCTCAGGTTGGAAAGCACTCAAAACGCAACTGGGGAAGAGCTGCCTCCTCAAAGTAGAGTTGACTGTGATGATGCGAATGGAGTAAAGCCCATGGGAGAAAAGCCTGCGGGACCTTCATTTGCTGATGGGGCACAACTCAAAATGAAGAGAAACTGCTGTAAACATCCATTGAAAATTGGAACATGGAATGTACGAAGTATGAATCTGGGAAAATTGAAAGTTGTCAAAAATGAAATGGAATGCATAAACATCGATATTTTAGGCATTAGTGAGCTGAAATGGATTGGTATTGGCCATATTGAATCTGACAGCCACATGATTTACTATGCTGGGAATGACAAACTGAAGAGGAATGGTGTTGCATTCATTGTCAAAAAGAACATATCCAGATCAGTCATGAGGTACAACACTGTTTGTGATAGGATAATATCCATGCACCTACAGGGAAGCCCAGAGTTAATACCATTATTATTCAAATTTATGCACCAATTACTAAAGCCAGTGAGGATGAAATAGAAGAATTCTATTAACTTCTTCAATCTAAAATTGATCAAACATGCAATCAAGATGTATTGCTCATTACTGGTGATTGGAATGTAAAGGTTGGGAGCAAAGAGGATCAGTGGTGGGAAAATATGGCCTCAGTGATAGAAATGATGCTGGAGAACGCATGATAGAACAAAGCCAATGATTTGTTCATTTCAAATGCCTTCTTTAGACAGCATAAGAGATGACTATATACATGCACCTCACCAGATGGAACACATAGAAATCAAATTGACTACATCTGCAGAAAGAGATGATGGAAAAGCTCCATATCATCAGTGAAAACAAGGCCAGGGGCAAACTGTGGAAAATACCATCAATTACTCATATGCAAATTTAAACTGA